TGGAGAATCGACTCCATAGGAAGTATCATCATCATTATTACTTGTACCTTTTGATACTGGTGATTTGAAATAATTAGTTGAAAATGAATGAATTTTATTTGATTGTTGAATATTATTCATGGATGAATAATATCGATTATTATAATTTATTATATTTGATAAACGTGGTTCACTAACGTATAACGATGGTTTCCATTGTGGATATTTTAGAGAAATATGAGGTAGTACTAGAAAAAAAAAGAAATGTTATCATGAAATCAAATAGTCAAGGTTTTTGTAGTGTTAATCTCAAATCTAATATATTCTCAAAATCAATACTTTATTACTTCATATCAGAGCCTGCCAGATGCCTTTCAAATCGAGACTCTTAGCTGAGTCTAAGCCTTGGTTTGAAACTGTAATTGATACATATAATAAAATTAATTGAGTTTATTTATTTTTTTTTATGTGAACTTCACGAACTCTATTGCAAAAAACTATAATGACCAGATATGGAGCAGTTTTAGTTTTTAACTGATAGATTGCTACTAATTAACTGATCCTGGCATCTCTAATGATGACAGTGACTAATTTATACTGGCATTGATGTCTTGTAGGATTTTAAGATATACTATTACCTGGTTCAATCGAAACGAATTTCGTAATGATGAGTAACAAAAAGAAATGTCTTCTAACTCTCCTTCGGAGACAACATACAAAATGAAACATTATAATAACATCACTTCTAACCTGTTCTTTGTTGATGTTTTAATCGATAATCAATTTCACTTTTTTTTGCTGATCGAACTGATATATTGTTCTTTGAAGGAACATGCTTATGATGAACTGTCGGTATGGTTGTATTTAATTCATTTGATGATAATGAACTACATTGAGCAGAATCATTGGATGAATTACTTTGACTATCAATATCATTATATATTGGATAAATTTGTGATATATTTGAATTAAATAATTGCATTGATGGATCACTACTATCACCAAAACCACTATCATTTGTATGCATTAATGATTTTAATGATATGCATTCTTTTGCATTTGATGATATATTCTGTAAATATAAATGAAGAAGATTTCCATCTGGGTCATAAATATAATATTCATATTTATTTATTGTAAATAATTTACTTGTATATTCATGAATAAAATAATTTAAATTATTCAATCGAAATTTCAAATAAGCTCCTTGAGATATAGTATACGATTGAATTGATGGAGAATATTTAATTGAAAATTGATAAAGTAATTTATTATTAATTGATGATGATGAAGATAAATTAAAAAGTACAAAACCTGTTTTACTCGAATCAGGTTTACGTTGAAATAAATGTTTATAAAATTTTAACATTAAATCAAAATTTTTCGTAAATATATTAAAACGTATAATTATATGTCGATTATATGGAATATGTGATATTGACCATAATGGTAATAAATGAGATAATTCATAATAATCTTGTCTTGCTATGATTTGTTTATATTCATCTAATAATTCAATTTTATGATGAAAATTCCATATATGTATAGATTTAAAAAAATCTTTTTTTTCAGTTTTTTTAAGAATATCATGAGTTAAAAAAATAACACAACTTAATGATTGACATTGAATTGGAATTTTTGATGTTAATGAATGTGTTGTAAATGAACCAAAATATGTTGTTGGTTGAATTTGACGTTCAAGAGAAAAAAAATTTTGATCAGTTATTGAACATGAACGTAGTAGACTGGTTATAGCTGTTGAAATTTCATCATATTCATTACAACCAACTTTTAATATAAGTTCACATGAACAAATATGATCAGTAGTCATCTAAAATAAATAAAATATTTTGATTCTTTTCTTCTAGTTAAAAGTTCTCTATTATTTGTTACTAAATAGATATATTCTTGTCTTTTAATTGAGTAACAGGAGCATTTTTCTAGTTACATTGTAGACAATTGGAAAAAAAAAGGATACTACTCATACGTATGCGTATATACATATGATCTGACTGATTGATCAACAGTTACCATCAAGTTTTTGTTCATGATGCGTGATGTGATAATTGCAGACAAGAGAATAGAAAGAGAAATATGTTTTATATAGTCGCCTCGATTGATGTTACAAAAGATTGATCAATCTTTTTTCGATTGTTCATATTTAATTGAATTGAACCAAAGTGTTGGCGTAAATTCATAAAAAATAATGTTCTATTATCACCTTTTTTTTCATCCATCTTATAGCTATATTATAATGAAATAACAAATTTCATATATTCTGTTTATTAACTGATTGTAAGACAAAAGAAAAGAAATATAAATACAATACTTGATGAAGTTCTTTTTCGATTATTTGGTGATCTATTGTTTATCCTACCTTAGTTTTTAATATGAATGTACGATTAGTATTTCCATATCAATCACATTCGAAAAATCACAAATGAATGTGATGAGTCTTTATAAGAAATGACAAGCAGGCAATACATGAGTAGGAGGAGATCGATAAAGAAGTTCAATGTTAAACTCTTGCACTTATAATTATCGATAAACTTAGCATTCATCTATTTCTACTTATCGAAATATTGTATAGTAATACGTATAATTGTTAAAATATTAATGGTTGCCTTTCGTCTATGTTCTATCGAACTTAATGTTTAATCATTTCACGTCTATTGTATCAATCAGTCTTCTCTTTTTCTTTTGCTGCTTCAACTTTATTGTGCAAAGGCACAAGCATATCTAAAAGGAAAATAATGCATGCACTCAATACCTGTACTTCTGTTCTACTACTTAGCGCACGTATACGATTATACCGGTACTGAACACTCAAGTTTATTCAATAGTACACGTCTCGTTTCAAGAGAAAAGAAAAGATGGAAGAATCCAAACATTGAATATGGTAGTCGCTAACATGATATGCTTCTTATCATCAGCATTGCAATCACAATATCAAATATTGAGACTAGTCAAATATAACAATAAAATAAACAAAGACGAGTATACATGACTATCGATAGAAGAAGATATTCAAGATTTAACCTTCTTAATAAAACAAAAAAATAAAACCACTAGGTTATTTTAACATATGAAATATGTAAAGAATAGATGAATTAATTTTTATTTGATCTTTTATGCAGTATAGATTACAATGTCTACGTCATGGTTTAACAAAAGACGATTCTTAAAAAAAAACATATATCTATGATAAAATGTGTTTGTTTTTTTTTGCCTTAAGAAAAATCTAATTGTTTACATACCTGTATATTGGTTAGTTATTATTCATACGCTAGTTATTCGAACAATATGCTTCATTGTTTGTTGAATGATGCTTCTCTTTTACAATACAAGTATACCATAACATTGTTACATAAGTCTTGTACAAAAAAGCCAAATGCGAACACACGTTTATGTCTGTTTGTTCCACCTGCCACTAATGTCTCTCTTTTCTTTTTTCTTCATTTTATGTAATACCATATACTAAAGAGAGTCGATCACTCATCATCTACTTCATGTGATTTATTTTACACAAGAAAAAGAGAACAGATTATTTGCGCTTAGTAACGAACACTGTGTAGACAAATTTTTTTTTTGCTCATGTATATATGTATATACGTATATGAAAGAATAAAATGGACTTTGGTAGTTCAAAATAAACACAATTAGTATAATTGACACGATATCTAATGAATATATATTTAAAATTGAAAACTCTTTTTTGGTAAAGAAAAAACAATAAAAATGCATAATAATGATATTTCTATCTGTTCATTGAATCATCATTCATTTTTCTTTTGTTACTGTTAATGTTTGATTTAAGCTTCTTGAAGCCTTTATATATAATTGTAGTGAATTTTAAATAACACGCAATATATCCTTAAGATGACACTTATGGTTGAACGACAACCATATGTCGATTACACAATAGAGTACATCATAAAAGGTTCGCCCGCTTCAATTGAATCAATCAAAAACAACTGCTTATTCTACTTATCAAAGTATATGATAGCTATAACTATCTGTCTATATTTATTCATCCAGCAGAAGAATAATAAATCAATTTTTTCCTATATCAATATCTTCATATTTCTTTTAAAAAACATCTATTTATTGATATTATTTCAACAGAGCATTCGAAAAAGTATTTTATTAGTAATCTGTTACGAGCACTTAAGCGGATAATCTGCAAAAAATTGTTTCAATACATGGAATAAATAATTGAGAATGCTCGTAAGATACTTAATTCAGTCTTTAGTACTTATTGAGCATCCTGCGTTGAATATTTTTTCACAAGTTAACTAATTAAGCAGTTAGATGTATCTTATTTTCAAATACTTAAGCATTTATCAGATGTCCAAAAGTACACAAATATTGAAAAATATTTGTGACATATTGATAACATGGTACATTCATTTGGGTGTCTGAAATTCATTGCTTTCACTTGCGTCAAAACTAAAATTCACGATTTTTCCTGTATTAGAGTTTTATGATGTTGATTATTAGTAGTTATTAACGGAGTACATTTCATTTCGGTTTGCTTTTCGATATCAATACTTTGGATAAAATTACTTATGAAAGAATAATGTTTTGTCATGACACAAATAATCATATTGTCAGATCTTATTTTCTTATTCCATCACGTATGGAAAAAAAAATGAAATATAGCATTTAAAAAAAAACGAAAATATTCAAATTTTTGTACTTTAATGAAGATAAATAATCTGATGTAGTTAAGGTCAGGCTGAAAGTTGATATTATTTGACTAATTTTTTGTTTGTGCCAAGCAATTTTTACAGAGGTGTATTGGTGTCAATATACCGTTAAAATATCGATTAATCCTTATTCTAATAAAATATTAGCTGTATCATCATTATACAATAAATCCTTGTATTTACAAAGAATAAAATCCTTGTCTAGAAATATTTGTATAGTATCAGAAGATTTATCATATATGTGTATATATATAGAGGAACTAAAAGAATCTAGTTCGCTTTGCTTGTTTCAATTGATATTCTGCTATTAGAATGTCTAATACACGATTGGTGCTGCTTATTTTAAGTATCTTTGCTAGTACACTTATACAAACCATATGCAATGCTCAATTTAGTAAGATTTTATAGAACATAAATTCGATTTTTATCATGAATATTTTTTTCTTACTAGCTAATATTGATGAAGACACTGGTTGTCCATTGAATGTCAATCATGAATGTGAAATATGTGCTGTAGATCAAAATCGTTTAGGATGTTATTGTGAACTCACTAATGGCGATGTAATTATTACTGCTAATATATTCACAAAATGTCCAATCGGTAGGAATACAAATAAAATAAAAAAATAATAAATTAATATTCATCGATTTTGAATAGAAAATCTGGATCCTTGCAGTAATCATTCATGTAAAAATGGAGCTACATGTGTTAGTGAAGGTTTGACTAATTATAAATGCAATTGTACTCAAGGTTTTGGCGGTCCATTATGTAATGAAACATTACCAAGTAAAAAAAGAAATATTAAAAATTAATTCAAGAGTCTTATCATTGATTTGTATTTACTATAGAGTGTTCTGATCCAAATATACAGTGTTTAAATGCTGAATGTATTGAAACAAATGATCCTGATATACCTGTTTATTGTCAATGTTATGATGGTACACGACGTGATCCAAGACAGAATGATTCATGTCCATTAAGTTAGTAATTTACTCTTAAAAAAATAATTTTCATTTTTCTGTTTATCTAAAATTTTTATCTTGTTAAGGTCCATGTTATGAGAAAGATACTGAAAATCCAGTCTGTAAACATAATGCTACATGTCGAATTATTAACAATGGATATTTCTGTGAATGTACAGGAGGTTATGCAGGTCAAACTTGTATAAAAACTCTTAAAAGTATATTTATTTTGATCATATATTTTTTTTTGCCTAAAAAGTAATCATGAATATATTTTCAGGACCACTCTGTGAAGAATCACCAGGTGTTTGTGGTGAAGGAAAATGTCAACAATCACTGACACCACCATTTTATTCATGTAATTGTGGTAATCATCCAAGTACATTTGGTAAAACAATTACCGAATTAACTAAATGTGAAGAAAGTAAGATTATTTTTGTGATGAAAAGACAAAGATTTCTTTTAAAATGAATATATTTATTGTATAGGTGGTTGTTATGCAATAAATCCATGTCAAAATGGCGGAACATGCAGTAATAAAGGTGTAGGCGCTTTCATTTGTCAATGTTCTTCCCGTTTTACTGGTACTAAATGTGAAAAATTTTGTAAGTTAATATTTTCAAAAGAATAATTTGGTCTTCTTCATTGATTTATTTTTCAAGCTGCTTGTCATACTAATCCATGTGTAAATAATGGCATTTGTGAAGCATTCAATGAAACCGTATATTTCTGCAAATGTCCACCATATTTTACTGGTCAACGATGTGAAACTCCTGTACCTGGTAGACAATTTTTCATGATATTCCTTTTCGTTTTTTAGTATAAAATTTGTTTTAGATCCATGCCAAGGAAAATCATGTGGAGCTTTTGGTGAATGTCGTGATATTCGAGGTACTGCAATATGTTACTGTAATGATGGATTACATCTTGATGGTTCACCTTGTGAAGGTAAGCATGTAATTTACTTTAGAAAAATACTAAATGTTGTCTTTTTTAATTGTTGTTTAGACCCATGTCTTAATAAAACTTGTGGTGTAGGTGTATGTACAAAAAGTCCAAATGCCACGTATGAAGCTATATGTTCATGTCCCATAGATCGTACAGGAGAATCATGTGAAAAACCGCGAGGTATGTTAACTAATGTTATAGAACTAATGTTAAAGTTAATGATTTTTGTGAAACACGATCTAATAGGAGAAGTGTTGAAATATACGGGTAAAAATTTAAAACTCCAACAGATTGTAACAGACGTTAACCAACGACTATTGTTGAGGCTAGCAAAAATCATCACAAACCGAGATAGACGTTGCTGATATACGGTCAACGATTGTATATTAATAAAGTTTCGTTCTAATTTATGAATTAGTTGCTTATTGCAATTCTGAAGAAGGATGATAAAGAAATGTGTTCTAAAATAGATGAACTCTGCTATGATTAGGAACATTGTGTTTCACATTTTAATCCAACACGATTTGTACTAACAGCTTTCTTTTTTAATTTAGATGTATGTCGAGAAGCTCCTCGTTGTGGTGGTGGATATTGTAAACCGAATTATCAGTCTGTTCGTGGTTATGTATGTGTATGTGAAGGAGGTTCGGTTAGAAATGAACCATGTCCATTTTCATCAAGTAAATCATTTCGTTTTTATGATATTGACTTTATTAGATTTGTATATTCACTTATAGCTTGTCCAATCAAAGATTGTGGAACAGAAGGTATTTGTGTAGAAACTGATGGTATTGTAACAACTCCTGGTGGCAGACCAATCTTTTACGTTTGTCAATGTAAGAAGGGATATATTAGTTCGGGCGATTGTACTGGTAACATTTAATATAAGAAGAAAGAATTACATATAAATTTAATTTTTTTAATTAGGATTGCTCGCTACAGATGTTCCAGCTGCTATACCTAGATGTGGACCTAATGGCATACCATATCCAAGTCGTAATCCAAATAATCCAATCGGATGTTGGTGTAATAATGGTACACATATTGAAGAAATTGATGTAAATGGTCCATCATCATACTGTCCTTAAATTGAGACTTTTATAATAGCAAAAAGTCAAGAAAATTATAATTATTTTTTTTTTTCAGAGAAATAATTTGAATTGACAAATAAATTGTGATGCAAATATACATGTATGTTTATTGACTCATGTGAATTAACTAAACAATAAATGAATCAGGGCTGGGCAAGTCTGAGTCATGACTAGGACTCGAAAGTTAGGTGACACTGACTTGTATCTTTCATTCGAAAAAGCAAAAGTTCATAATTCAACATCAAAATCAATTTAAGAAGAAATCGATGGATTTTCTGCATAAAGAAAAAAAATCATATGCGTTCCTAATACATAAGGATCAATTGAAGATTTTAATGCCCTTATTTTGTTGATAAGCCTATTGTAGTTTGTGTCATTTTATTTTATATAGGCTTGTTCTTATTGTGTTTTCATGCATAAAAGTCAGAAATAAGATATTATGTCACCAAAAACTTTTTCTTAACGTTCTTGATAAGAGTAAACACAAAACAAAAAGAAATGACAAAAATAACTTGGCTCAACTAACCTTGGAACGAACTTTTTTTATAAAAAATTGAAGATTTATTGAAGTGATTCAAATAAGATTATTCGAATATTAAAGCCATCCCTTCCCCTCAAAAATTGATCTTGAGTTTTGTACATACAAATCTCATCAAATTTTCAATATATGTTGGGGCTGTAATGGAAAGACTCTTCTAAAATTTTCAGTCTTATATTGTAACATTTTCGAGGGATATTCAACAAGCAAGAGTTAAAAATAGTTCATGTGGCAACCGAACGTTCTCTGTGGGCCTTCATCATATATATATATGTTATGCTTTTTCTTACGGAAGCATACTTTCAAACAAAGCATGACGAAAATCATCAAACAGTTTGACTAAAAAAAGTGAAGTAGCAAATAAAAAAATCATGTCATTTATGAAAAATAAGTTCTCAGGCTATCATTTTAATTTCGGTTGTTCTGATGAATATTGATGTTGTTCAAACAAGTATTTGAAATCAAAATAAATCATATTATTTCACCAAAAGAAGATGCACAAGTTCAATGGATATTGAAGCATACAAATTTCCTTTATTCATCTGTTATAGTTTGATCTAATTGTTTTTTTTTCAAAATGAATTGAAATAAATAGACATAGAATATGATTGATAATTTCATATTTTTTTTTTTATAGAATCAAAAATTACAAAAGAAAACCTGTTAGCTCAATCTCTGAGAGATGAAAATATAAAATACGATGAGGCTCGTTACATAGAAGCTGTTTTATTCAATCGATTCTGGTAGACATTCCTTCGGCATTCTTTCACTTAATCTTTCAGAAATACAATAACGAAGTAGTTTATATATTATAACGAAACGCTATTGATGTGCAGTCTATGATGGGCTCATTGCTAAGATGTCAGTCATGTCTGTGGCGAAAAGTTCGAATTTGTAGCTCTATTCTTCAACCCTCTTTTTTGGTTATGTTTCACTAAACATATCTTACTCTAAGCTAGCTTCTGTTACTAATCTATTTCTCCTAAAATGTTTGATTTAATTACTTCTCCTAAAACAATTTTTTTTTTATTATTTGACCATCAGTCTTGGATTAGAGATGTTAGCTTCGCGTTCTGTTCCTAAGAACGAGGACCGTATTACAGTCCTAAATAAAATAATAAGCAGAAAAATATAAACACTTTGGTGAATTAAAAACCCGCTAGAAAATTCAGTATGAGATACATTCTCGCTCTTTCAAGACACGAACGCTTACACTTCTACTTAGATGTTTACTAGAGAATACTATACACCATATGATGATATAATACGACTCACAGATCATGGAACAGTGTATATAACAAAGTTGAAAGAAAATATGTCTGTAACAAATATGACATGAACTTTTCAAATTTATATATTTGACATCGATGACAACAGATTTATTTAGAAAAGTAATATCTGCCATGTCTTTCTAGCACTCAAATCAACATGTTCAGAAGTGCTACTTTTTGCTTTTTGCATTCTTACTATGATCTTGTTCAGGTAGTGAGTTCAAGAACATTCACAAGTGTTGAAAATATCCACATTTTCTCATCTAGGATTTTTCCACCATGATACGTAGAAATTTTTCCACTGTGTTATTTTAGGTCGTATAGAGAATTTTCCCAATCTGTTCTTATATATATATGCGTGTTCGTTCTATTATGTGTCGTCAGATAGTACATTCGTTTTCTTGTTTTCTTTAACGCTCTTCATTGTATCTTCTATTCTTTTCTTTTTCTTCAATTTGTCATTATAATCGAGATATCACAAATAAACTGAACTCACATAAACCCAAAATCTACAGATCTATAGACTCCTTTGGCAAAAGATAATAGGTAATTAGCTGTCCCAGTATCTATGAGTAAGTATACTTCTTTTTCTACTTATCTCATCTGATCATAATCATGCTCAAAACCATCGTTAATGAACATTTAGTTTGTAAATCAATCTCCATTTCTTTCATAATATACAAATAAGAATAATTAATGAAACCGATATTGACAAACGATAGCTACTATGTATAGGTAAGTATTCAGACAAGAAAAATAATTATAAGAAATATGTCAGCGTTATAGAAAAAAAAATCAAGATAAGACAAATGTCATGGATGTATAAAATGAGTCATGACTTCAATTTGTTAATAACTTTGGAATTTCCAAATATTGTTAATTGTAGCAGGTCATGCTGTCTGTTTGACCACAGTCATGATGCACAATAAAGATCTTTCATTTCAGACAAAAAAAAAATAGAAAAGAGCAAAAAACACATCAAAACTAAAAAAATTTAAATTTCAACCTAAATTTGAAATCGCAGCATCACAATAAACAGTGACTATTTTTCATTCGTTTCTTTAGGCTTACTCTTACGGAACACACTTGTAGGAAAATTTATAAAAAGAAAAGAAATAAGATTATCAAATACCACCATATGTACTTATTCTAGTTGTTTAGCGAGAATAGACATTAAGTATTTAATCGTGAATAGCGTATCAAGCAATATTAATATGAAGAATAAAAAAAAACACTATGAAAGATTTACAATGCACGTATGTCTATCAGCCATAGTTGTTTTAGTTTATGATTTTGAAATTATTCAAAGACAAATTGATAATTGTTAATAAATATAATTATCATGAACTTTATTTCTTACAAATAAAAATTAAAACATCATAAACGAAAAAATAACAATTATTGTTCTTTTTATTTTTAAATTTTTCTTCGATCAATAATCTATTTATTTGACCAACGTTGTTGAATCCATTTATCAATTTTGTTATTAAATACTCTTTCTTTAAGACCTTTATTAAAATTTCTTGTACACCAAAATCCAAGCATCATTGCTAATATATGCGCAAGAAGATTAAATGATATACATACATAAAGTACTTGAAGTATAGGTACTAAATTAATCATTGTTGCTTGTGTCGTTGTTGTTGATGATGTCGTTGTTGTTGATGATGATATCGTTGTTGTTGATGATGTCGTCGATCCTCGAGATATGTCTATCGAATGTTGAATTGCCTGATATGATTAATATTTAAATAGAAAAATAAATATAAAAAATTAAACAAAACATACTGTATAAAGGCTATAACCCAAGAAACCCAATTGAAAAAGTGAAAGTAAATAAAAAATACAAACTAATATATAATTTTCTAGACGAACCTAGATAAAACAAATAATGAAGGACATTGTTTTTTTGATAATTATGTATATTTTTTTAAAAATCTTACCATACCAATACCCATGCCTAACCATAATAGTGTTAAAGGAATACCAATAATAAGTAAGACTCGATCTACTGTTTCATAACCAGTATAATTATATAAATTGAGTAGTAAAGTTGAGATCTTATTAAATAAAACTTAGCATAAATTTGATTAGAAAAATCAAATAAATTATCTACCGAAAGCATTGTACTGACACGTGCTACACAATCAAATATGCTATATATTTTAAGTGGAAGACGTGCTGCAGGAAAAGCACCAAATAGTCTATTAAAATAAAAGAAAGCATATCAATTAAACATTGTCTTCATGCATAAAAACAAACATACCGTTTTGAGAATTCATCTCGTCGATAATCTCTAATAACTAGAATTGTAAGTGGAATAAAACATACGTTAAAAACAGTTGTAAATATAAGTCGAGCCTAGAAAAACAAAACAACTCAATCGTATGTTTCTTTTAAAGAAATTAAGTTTTATTTACTAGACGAATTTTTCCTTGAGTAGTATGACCATCGTTGGGTCCATTTCTTCGAGCAAAATAATGTGCAATAACATAAACTGTTAACATAACAGCACTGACAAAAAAGGCAACAATATCCGTAATACGTTGATAAAAAATTCCAGTTATTAGAAATAGAAGAAGAAATACTAACGAAAAAGAAAAAAAAGAAACAAATTTTATTATAATTTTTTGTTTTCTTTAAATCAAATTCCTACTTGAATGAACAAGAATAAGAATACCATAAGCAAAATCTGGATCATTCAAAGAACCCAAATTGATAAGACGAGCAATCGTTAAGCCATCCGTAATAAGTGCAGCTAATATACCAATTATGAGAAATGTATATTCATACCAACGAATGTTTCCTAACCCACGATGCTTAAAATAATACAAATAAATCAACGAAATAAATTAAATAAAAAAAGTATCTTACGGTTCCAAGAAATCCACTTTCTTCAATAGCAGTTTCAGTGGCTAATCTAAGACCACCTGCAAATGTTGGTGTTCGTCCTGACTAAAAAAAGAAAACAAATCATAAAATCAAATTTTAGATTTCATTGACTTACATCCATATTTATTAATTTTTTTTACTATTGAGGTTGTTGCTGTCTTTCAAATAGACCACTTACAATGCTACCTAATTTATCTTTTGACAATACTGCAATGAAGAAAAGTAAAAAAGAAGGATTGTGTTTCATCTGTTATCTTTTTCAAGGTCAAAAAGCAAAGTCAGATATAATAATGATATTGTTGAGATATATGTAAATAATATAGAATAGACTTTGTTGTTTTTATTTCAAAAAACAAGAGTACATAGGGCATGCCAAAAGTGTTTTTCATCTAGCTCTCCTAACAAATATAATTTTATTGCAAATATTCTTTGATAATATTTTAGTATATTTAGGATTACATACAAAATTCCATATTCATGAGTGTCATTCTTCATTTATTCCTTAGTTTTCTGTGAGACTAGTGGCACAACATTTTTCAGATGCATTAAAAATTCACGTGAGAACACTTTCAAACATCTGTATTGTGTAAATAGCACATCGCATTAGATTACGAGTGAAGGCATACCCATTTAACATGAACATGGAGTAACATAATACTTTCATATTCTACGTTGATCAATTAGTTTCATTATTTTTTCTAAAGTAATATTAACTGTGAAGATGTACCACATTCAAAGCGTCTTCCAACTAGAGCCTGTTGAGTGCCAAATTTTACGATTCGGAACGAATCTGATGGAAACTATTTCCAGCTATTGTAGCCGAAAAATGTTTTATTTCTTTGCTATCAATAAATGAAGATCGTTTTCATTGAACATACGAATGATTAGAGAACATTGTATCCATCATGTCTCCAACGATTATTTCAATTAGTCTTGTATTTGTAAGATGCTAGAAGATTTTGTGCTTAATGAGTGAATTTTCAGCTCACTGTCAACTAAAAGTAGGTCCATACTCAACTGAATCGTTATTTACTAAATAGATTTAAAGAGGTCAATGTCCATCTTCAATTCTATTTTATCACATATGAGAGATCAAAGGTTAATTCTAATGATAAAAATACAATAGAATAGTCGACAATTAGAATATAAACCATTCATTCATAAATCACTGAGACTAACGTTAACAGAAGTCAGTCGAATAAATATTTCAAATATTTTTCATGAAATCTAGTTTGATCAAGTGGACACTATTAATATCTGGTAAACGAAAGTTTACTTGTCAACAACTGTCTAGTGCAAATTTCCTAGTTGAGCTACAAGTGAAACAAAAAATCAACTTTTTCAGCTCAGGTTTTCCTTGTGAAAGTGGACACTACAAAAAGCATCACATGTAAACAAATTTTAGTAGAATATCACATACAAACATGTTCAAATCAATGCTAGTCTAAAGACATCATTTCAAACGACCATTTTCTGCTCTTGAAATTCAAATATCAGCTACATGATATTGAATGCAACCATAATGATACACTACTATAATTATTAGAACAATTCATTACTGCCTCCAGAAAAAAACCGGTCTCGCAGACTACTCTATGGACTTTGTATAATTCAATACACAAGTATGTTAAGCATTAGCCTGATGGATTGTCGAAAAAAATTTTAGAGTGTTGCTTGTATTGAGATTTATTTCAAACATTGAATTTATCTATTAATATTTTGTAGTAAATTTTAGTTACATCTTACGAGGCAAATATTAACCTTCTCTTCTTCATCGTGTTCAAGTTCATTAGGCCTTCTGTCGGACAATCGATCTTGTGCCTGGTACATTCAAATTATGTGAAATTTTCAGGATATGTTGAGATTATAGTTTAGAGACTACGCTAAAAAATTTCAGCCTTGTTCCATAACGTTTTCGAGAAATACTCAACAGATAAAAACCAAAAATAATTCATTTAACAACCGAAAATTTCTGTGGATATCCATTCTATAGATTTATTTATTTTTATTTGAAAGAACATATCAAACTGTAGTGCCTCTTGCTCTTTAAATACCTATCTTTTATGCGAAGAAAAGAAAAAAGATCACAAGTTCAATACCTTGAAAATCTCTCAAATCGTGCTTATCTCTTTAAAGAAGAGATTTTTTTTTACATAGTAATAAAGAAGCTTAATTCAAAAAAGCATTCTTCCAGATACTGCAGCTTCACATACTCTTTCAAACAAAAATAGAAAACAAGTAGCTAGAATGAAGTTTTTTCGACAATTTCGGAATATGCGATTAGAAAAACATAAACAGAGAAACAAATGTAAAACGATTTGTCACTTTCTTTGCGAAAAAACGTTTTTTAAAGCGGCCGGAAAAAAAGATTTGATAAACAAAGAATTATCTTGTTTGTGAAAAACTCGACGTCAACCTATCTGCCCATGCATTTATGTTCACTTCGATAATTTTGACAGAAATGAAACTTGGTTTTAGAAGGAGGAGAAACTTTATCAAAATAATAACGAAACAGTGGGTGAATTAGAGTTCTATTTTAAGACTTCACCAGCTCAATGAGAACAAACTGCAGTTATGAAGGAACTTGTTTTTATTGTTCTAATGATCAAGTCCCAGGCTTTAACTCCATTTAATTATTATATGGAATGTTTCTGTCATTCATTTTCATGTTGTTTAAAAAATCTTCCGCCCATATTCATAAGTAATTTTTTTTCTATTATTTTGTGATAATCTTAAGGCATCGTAAATATACAACATATAATGTAAGAGAATTGAGTTTTTTATGTTTTCTGATGAATGCTTTCTTTAATTTGTACACTATGTGTTACTCATCATAGTCTTTATCGAATAATTTACTTAGAACGATTTGTATCGTCTATTGGATCAATTAGTTTTTTGTTGTTTTAGTATAAAATCTAAAAATCTTTAACAACTCATGTATGAATAGTTAATGATGATTTCTTCGAGCACTCAAATACTTATCTTAATATATGTTCGCATGTATAATTAATAATGAATCCTTGTAGTTAACGAATTTGAATATGACTTAAATTTAGATAAATGTTTTTCTTAGAAAAACACATGTATCCTTTATACTAAGATACTTCTTGTAACAAATTGTTGACTCTTTGTTATAAAACTCAAGCATATATAAATGGCTACGTCATGAATCTTGGTGCTTGTAAAAATGTAGATTGAATAAATATTTTTTTAAATTTATTCATTGTTTTTTGATAAGTGTTACGATAGAAACTGAAGACAACAACAAAGACAACAAAAATAAATTAAAATTGAGATTCTTCCATTGTATGCTTTAGAGATATTTGAAAACATCGTTGATGAGGAGTTGGTTTCAATAAAAATTCACTTCGATTTTTAGTAGTTTTAAACTTTCTTGAAATAACAGACGATTTACGATGATGACATTTCAAAAGTGAAAATAATGCATAACGAAATCGACGTCCACTTACGCAATAAATAATAAAATTCGTACAAAAATTTAAATCTTTTAATAACTCAGCTAACGAACGTATTACTAAATAAATTTCAAATGATTTTTGTGTAAAACAATAATTAAATGGTAAACCTAATCGTGATATAACATTTGTTATTGTATATGGAACAAAATAAACAATAAACATTAATGTTACAATTAATAACATAAGCATTAATTGATTTTCATTTGAATCTGTTTGACGCTTTTGTTGATAAGAATTATTTGTTAACATGTCATGTCGTCGAATAACTGCTCGTTTAACTGTACATATTGTTAAAAAATTACCAATGATAACAATTGTTAATGGAATATAACAATAACCAAATTCTGTTATTGTTGCATTTAATCGTCTATAGGAATGCCAACTTGCTACAGGATGACAACGAATCTTTTGTTCAATTGATGTATCCATTGGTATAATTAAAATTCGAGATGAAAATATCATTATTATCATTGCTATGATTGTAATTTTGACACGTGCACGACTTTTTGAGGCAAATTTTGTTTTATGTAATGGAAATAGAACAACTAATGTACGTTCAATTGTTATTACAACAATTATCCATATTGATAAAAGTACACTAGATTCACCACAAAATACTAATATTGTACATAACGATGACGAATAAAAATATTTGGATGTTTTATTTAAATATGAAAATAATTTGAAAATAAGTACCAATGTATCAGATATAGCCAATGATTTAACATATACAGAAAATGAGGAATAATTTAATTGTGGATATTTTAGTATTACAAGTAATGTCAATGAATTACCAGCTAACGCCAATATTGGTAATAAGTATATTGATATATCACCTAAATTTTGTGCAAAATGATAAGCTGTCGCATTATCGAGCATTAAACTGTTCGGTTCACATAAATAACGATTCATCTATAAATAA